TTTGCATTTATGATTATCATTTAAAATGCTATTGTAAGCAATGAAGGAATCAAGAAATTCATTTGAAGATGACTGTTACAATATTTCATACATTTTGATGCATAAGACTCCAGTTTTACCTTTTCAAATAGGAGTAAGAGAAAACTCATACAAAATCATTAAATGCTCTATCTAGTTACAAAATTTTAAATAAGATTAGTATTTTAAAAGTGGAATGATGTAGGGATTACGAAGACTGAGCCACATGCTGAATCAGAGAAATACCTAGTTGCTGGTCACCACTTAGAAGACCCCCACAAGGGAAGTCTCATCAACTTGAAGTTTGAGAAATTAGTAATTGATCCAAACTACTTAAAAAGTAAACAGAAACCACAACCTAAATCTGAATGCCATGGACTTCACAATTCATTTCTTTTTGCCACAACACATGGCTAATTCACGCTTCACATGTATGTTCTGAGATGGTCTTCCCACCCTAGTTCATTCCTCCTCACATGACTTCTTATTTTTCTTTGTTAAAATCACATATTAGCAGGTAACCAGAACTTCTTTAAAATTTTTTGAGAATTTCAACAGAACACAATGTCTGTAGGTAGAGAATGTGTCTTTATTGCCCAGATGAGGTTTCTAAATAGCACGTCCACAGTCCCAGGTGGCCAGGCTTAGAGCTAATGCACCCTTATGATCCTGGTATAATTATTAATAGTTTTCGTGTGGTGGGCAGAATAAGGCCTCCCCGCGGGACGTTCATGCCTTAATCTCTGGAACCTGTGAATATGCTACCTTACATGGTAAAAGGGATTTTGCAGATCCAATTACAGATTTTGAGATGGGGAGATTATTCTGATTTATCTGGGTGGCCTAATATAGTTATGAGGTCCTTGTAAAAGAGAAACAGGGATGGCAGTCAGATTCGGGAGATAGTATACTGCTGGCTGTGAAGATGGAGGAAGAGCCATGAATCATGGAATTTGGGCACGAAAAATGGATTCTCTGAAAAAGTCACACCACTTTATTCACATTTGGTTTTAGTTCAGTGAGATTCTGACCTGCAGAACTGCAAAATAATAAATTTGTGTTGTTTTAAACCACTAAGTATGGGGTATTTGTTTTAGCAGCAATAGGAAGCTAATACCCTTTCAATTTCCTAAGTGTTCTTTTTTGCATAATATATATTAAAAGATATAGTTCAGAGCTGATCAGGCTCTGACCTTGAAAAGCCAACAATGCCATCAAATTGAAAAGCTTCCAGACAAACCTCTCCCTTGTTCTGGCTATGGGGGTCTCTAAGGCCCAGTAAAACTCATTTCCTGTACTTTCCATGAATTACTATAGATTTACTGTTTCAATAATGTCAGGTAATAAAGAACAGAAATATATAACCACTTCTCAAAAGTCTTGTAAAATTAGAGTTTGCCAGAGCACTCACTATCCTATGCAGATCTTCTAAGTCAGAATTAGGTCATTTGCTTCCCTGGGAAGTGGAGCTTAATTGCCCACTCAGCAGGGCAGTCAGCCTAAGAGGCAGGGAAGCTGCAGAGTGCAGGCTGATGGGCAGCGAAGGGAATGGATTTTTTTTCAGCAGTGGAAAGTGAGAAAAACCAAATAATCAATGTTGGGCAGGAGAGTTTCATTTAATCATTTAGTTCTGCCTGGGTAAGCAGCGTCTGTGAGCAAATAGCCCTCCCCTCTCAATTTGCAGATATTTATAACCAGAGCAGAAGGTGGGTTAAAGACATCATGATTAAATGAAAAAATAATGTAATGCTTTGTAGTAAATTCTTTGTAGTAAAGTAATTCTTTGGAGACTATAGTAAAACCAACTGATCAATTCTCAGTGCTAAAGTGTGAGGCGCCTCCTACTATCCCTATCAACATTGTCCAGCTCCCTGCAGTGAAGGGACCTCCCAAGCAGTCTACTCTACTTGGGGATAACTAATAGTTACAAAAGTTTCTTTATATTTAGCTGTTATCATAACATTCACCCTTGATGCTAGGTCTACTTGCTTGCAGCCACATAAAGTTAAGTCTGAACCAGTAGCACTCAACACTGGCTGCATAGTAGGATCCTCTGAGGAGTCTTTAAAACTCAAATGCATGGGTTGACCCATACACTACTTCAAATCAGCAAGAGTAGGACCATCAGTATTTTTACAACTCTTCAAGATATTCTAAGGTGTAGCAAAGGTGGAGGGTTGTTGCTCAAACTCTCTTTCACACTGTAACTCTTTGTACAAAGATGCCCTCATCTGAATTGGATCTAGCTGAGGCTGTAACTTTCAACAATTCCCTTGGAGAAGACAATACAGGGTCACTAGCAGTATACAGACATGCGTACATATTGTCACGTGATATCATTTTCAAAATTTGCCACTATTTTTGCATTGACCATAAATTGCTCATGATGAGAAAAGTACCTCCAATAAGCATTTGAAAATCAATTTTTGAAATGGCTCTTCTGGTTGTGGTGGGATGTCTGCTAGCTGTGCAGACCTGCCCTTTTCCAGGTTTTCTCAGGCCTCCCGTTTGGGAAGGCCCATGTCAATTTCAGAGGCAAACTCTTGGGAAACAACCCTTGCTTTTCCAAACAATGAGTATTTTGTTTGCAAATTCAAGCATTGCTTGGAAGATTCTTTTACAAATTGTTTAAGGCAAAGGAAAGGTTTCTTTCTTATTTTTTGATTTAAATTGGGTATTTAGCTTATTTCTTTGCAAATATTAAATACTACTGTACAGACAACAATTAGAAACCAATGCAAGCTGCATTTGTTTGATAATTAAGTGGTATGGTATCACTTATAAATACAACTGGAGTAAAAGGAAAGGATAAATGGAGCAATTTGTCTAAGTCCTAATACTGATTGCCATAATATTAACAAGGTTTTGCAAATACTGCCTGTAAGCAAGGTTCCTAATAGGCCAATAGAAATCTCAAATTATTTTAAAGGTTTTAGTTTCAAAATAAAAAGGAAAAAAACCCATTTGAGATTTATTTTTAAAAACATTGTAACAGGGAATATGAGCAAGTATAAATCTATTCTCCAGATTATATTAGCCAAAATGCTAAAAATGCCGATTCACAGACCACACCCCTTCGCCACAGTATAAGCACTGGGGGAGTCTGCACTGTTAACAGATTCCCCTGTGGGGTTGATGTTCTCTGAATTTGAGAACAAATACCTGAGAGTGTATTTGAAGTACTCATTGAGTCTGTCACTCCTACTTCCAGACTTCTGGTTAGACCTGGGGCTCTCCACATGTATAAACATCAGCAAATGAAAAGGCTGGTGAACAGGCAGATTTCAATTCTCTGCCATCCATCTTTTCCCATTGTTTATATATTACTACTTGTGGTAAGTAACTTGTAACTTTGCTGAAGAGGAAACCATGTAGCAACACATCATCACACCATCAGAAGCAAAGCTATGTTATCTGAAAATTAATTTCTTTTATTCACCAATTTGGAGGTGTAGTGGATTTTTTTTTTCTTAAAGCAATGTTTTCTCACTAAACATATGTTTTGTTACTACCTAACAGATTTCCTTAAGGCAATGATTGTTTCAACACAGTAGGTGTTTTCTCTAGTTAAAATTGATTCCTATTGTCAAATCCTAGACTATCTCTTTAGCTGAGATTTTTGCCACCACACCAGGCACAAGCTTCCACACAAAATAGGAATTCCAGTCAATTATTCCTGTCTGCTGCTATAGCCACAGCCTCCACCTCCCATCTTCCAGATCTGCTTGGGTCCTTCCAGCTGCAAGTCTCGCTTGTGACCCTTTCCCCATCCTTGTCTGCCCTTCTCTGTTTCTTTCCTGCCTATGACTTTGACTTTTCTCAGTAACACTTCTGATTATTCATTTCAGCTCTTTTGCCTGTGGTCATCTAAAATACACACTTTTCTCAGCTCAGCACTTCTCTGGTTGCCTCCAAGCCCACTTTGACCTGGTTGAGGCCCCACCAAGGCACCGGTCAGCTGACCATAGCCTTGTGCTGGTGATGTCGCCTATAAATGCCACGGGAGAAGCCCGTGCTAGATGTGGCCAGAGTAGTGTCTATTTTCTTCTGACTCTTCTTTTACTTGTTCTTATTTGGTCTTTTCTATTTGGATATACATCCCTTTTCACCTTGACCAAAGTCCCTGATGATGCTGCTCTTAGAGGACTAGTTAAGCAATAGCAAGTAAGTCTCTTCTCACATGCTAATTTTAATCAATTGTTAATAGCTACAGTGAATGTAGCATTTAAAAGACTGCATCTGACTTCAGTCTGTCATAACCAAGTCATGCCAACCTTGAGTTAGGATGTAGATAGTCTTGCATTTGAAGAGATTACCATCTTTAGACTGGACACTTTCCTCTTTTCTTCAGGGCTGATAGATACTAACCACAAATGCTTGACTTCTATGTCTTTACGTTCTTTTATTCAAACCCCATTCATTTAGTAAAGAAGGTATTTCTAATACATTCACATTTTCCATAAATATGTCTGCAAAGGCAGCACCTTCAGGAACTGTATCTTTTCTCCGATGAGACCAGACTCTGCAGGTGGTGCGTTTGGCAGAACCCATTTTGCGGTGGTAGTTTGGGAATGGTCCAAATCTTCCTAACTCTAGGCTAGAGAAAGAGTAGCTTCTGGGCTGTTTGGTATCAGAAAAACTATCCGCCAGTATTCAAAATCCCTTCCCTCTAGGGCTGCTCCTTATCTTCCACTATGAAACGTCTGTAGTCTCTTATGCTAAAATGTTACCATTGTTGAGAGTTGGACTGCATGCTAAAGCCCTCCCTCTCCACCAGGGGGCTTAGCACAGAGCTGCCTTCATATACATATCTATACGTATTATATACATAAAATATATAAACATATATAAATATAAAAATTTAAATATATGAAATATATATAAAATAAATATAAAAATAAAATAAAATATATATAATATATAAAATATATATTTTTTCCTACCAAGGGTAGTCTTTGTAAAGGAACACAGACTCAGCTTACCTTGTAGTGGAAGAGAAACAATCCGCAAAAGAGGCTGTATAAATCTGCTGTGAGCAGGGAGAGGTTGACTGAAGTGGCGCTGGTTTTCTTTATGACGACCGGCATGAAACTGTACAGCCCGAACATGCAGGCACTAAAGCCAACGTAGAGCAGTCCTGGGGGGACAAGAGAGAGATGAAGGGGAGCTGGGCTCACCATTATCATTCACAGTGGGTAATTTTTCTTTCACTGTATCAACTGATGCTTTTTAATGGGGAATGCATAACTGAAACATAAAATAAAAAGTAAAAACTTGTGTGTGGAAAAATGAACTTTCTGCTCCTATTTTCTTCTGATGTTTTGCTTCTTTTGGGAAGGAATGCATCTTAGTGGCTCTCATTAGAACACAGGTCAAGGCTTCTGATTCTATTTCCAACTGTCCTGTAATTAACTTCTGCTAGTCAAGGAGTATTTTGAAACTTTTCTCATCTCTTAGTTTATTTATAAAATAGGAACAGAACTGCTTCTTGGTATCATGTATTGCTCACAATGACAAATAACTTTAGTCCTTAAAATGGAAGGACTGACAAGTCAAAAGAGATTTGGACTTGAATTGCAGTCCCAACTGCATGACTGTGACAGACATTTCTTTGCTCCAGACACAAAATAATCTTGTCAGTTTGTCCTAGATTTGTGAACCCTGCTCATCCCCACTGCTGACATGGAGACCTACCTGCATTATAATAAAAGTAAACAAACCTTTCAAAAGGAGCCCTTGAATAAATGTCTCTGGTATGGGTTCTGGGCCGGTGACTTCCTCTGAACCCTGCGGATTTTGGAGGTCTTGGAAAGTACTAGAAAGCTAGTCCATTTGACTATGAAGACCAGTGATTTTGCCAAAGAAAAATTTGGTTTTCTCACATGAAAAGTATTTAAAGGCTTAAATCATCCTTCTATAAGTTCTGACCCTAAGTTTAAGGAAAGTCACATCAACTATATATATAAAAAAATTAATTTGGACATTAAGCTAACTCAGTGCAACAGCCCCCTCTAGTGTGGTGGAAGTGTCCTTAGAGAAAAATGGAATAACCACTTTCCTGTACTTAAAAGAGTCTAAGTTGTCCTGTGGGCATTCTGTTGTAGTGTGATCAGATGACTTTTAACTCTCTACCCAGAGTTTTAAATCTCTCAGCATGAATAATTTTCTGTATATGGGTTTCATGTTATTTAAATTCATTTTCCTGTTAACCAAATTTCTAAAAATGTGTTACTAAATAACCCATGATTAGCGCATCAAAATGCATATAAATTAATTCATTATTCCTTTAAGGAATCTGGGAATCACTGACTAGGGACAAGACATATTCTTAAATTAGTCCACTAACAATAATAAAATTTGATCTGAACACAGCCCAGGCACTATAATCATTTTTTGATGCCATCACTAATTTAGGTTATACATGACCAGGCTAGAAAGTTCCAGAATCCTACCCTTCCACACTTGTCTAGCACACTGTGGACTCCCACATATGGGCTCTGATGTTTTAATATTACTCAATTATTCAACCACTTATTCACTGAGTACCTACCACACTGAAGGCATAATAAGGGCTAGCTGTGTGGTGGAATACAGGGCAGACAAGAAGCTTAGGTTTGGGATTAGTGCTATAAAGGAAGAAAGAGGTTCCTTACAGGGAATGGCAGGGGGTTTGTGTAGGAAGGAGAACTAGGTAAGGCTTCTTTGTGCAGGTGGCATTTAACCATGAATGCTGAAGAACTAAAAGGAGATTGTCACAGGAGAAATCAGGGGGAGAACATTTTAGGCAGGAAAATATGCAAATAAAGACTGAGTGTCAGGGTAGGATATGCCTCAGGTGTTTTAGGGGCTGCCAGAGGCAAGAATATCTGAAAAGAATGAAGTGAATGGGGCAGTAATAAGAGATGAGGCTAGAAAATGAGACAGAGGATGGAGTATGCAGGTCAGAAAGAAACTGGTTTTCTTACTCTAGTTGTAATAGGAAGCTATTGAGCTGATTATAGCAGGTGATCTACATTTTTAAAAGATGACATTGGCTAATGAGGAAAGAAGGAGAAAACCATGGGAAGAAAATAGTGTCTAGACCCAGCAAGAGACCCTAGTGGTTTTGCTCAACAAGACTCAACAAGCCATGGTGATAGACTGGGTAGGGAATGAGAGGAAGGAGGACAATAAGGATACCCACAGGACCTTATGGGTTCTGGTTAATTTAGAATCTGGTGAATTTTGTGGCTATTTACTGAGATGGATAGAACTGAGAGAGAACCAGATTTTCATGGGAAATAAAAAAGTTCCATTTTGAATGTCTTAAGTTTTAGATTTTAGATGACGCCTTTGCATCATCCAAGAGGATTTGTCTACTGAGAACTGGATGTATAAGTTGGCAGGCTCAAAGAAGAGGCGTGACTTTACAAGCAAACTGGTGAGCCAACTGGGATGGGGAAAGAGATACACAGCAGAGTTCACTCTACTCAATTAGCCACCTCAGGATGCTTCAAGCTTACACGGCCTAATGTATTTTTCAAAATTACAGAAATTCAATGTAAGAGAATGAGGGTGGAATATATCAGCATTATAGTTAATCTTTGCTTGGTCAACCAATGTTGTTTTGGGTGTGTGAAAACTCTTGTCTTGTGAGCAAAGCAGAGTCAGCCAAATGAACACATGATTAACTTGAGAATGGGAATGCTGCAAGTTGCTGATGTGCAGTTCTTAGACGAACATTAGCTGTTTAATGGACGTTAGCGAAGTGTCCAAAGGCCTGACTTGCTGTCCACATAGGGTATTCAAACAATCCACCAACATGCTCAAACAAATGAACTGATTATTTTTTGACTGACAACTATTCAATACATAATGTTGGTAATAACTACATATGTTGACAGGGCACATGCATAACCATTTCTTATTTGAAATGTTTTCTGTCCCTAAAGATAGAATTTGGGCCGTTTTGTCTTCAAGCACTAAAAAGGTTTAAGCTAAAGAGATTGGAAAGAGTGCTATTAGGTAATACTCCCTGAGCACTTGCTATGTGTTGTACATTTTAAATACATTAATTAATTAATCTCCATAAAAGTTTAACACCATAACTGTGGTTATCCTTTTTACACAAATAAGGGGATAGCATTATAAAATGTTTCAGTGGAGAAATGAAGTCCATACAGAAAAATTTCATATGGGGCACAAGTTACAAAGGCATTTGAATGGGTGATAGGGAACCCCGATGGTGAGGCAAGCCAGAGGTTAGAAATAGCAGTAAATTACTCACATCCTTGGAACTGGAGGACCCAGGGAAGAGGCCACATACAGAGGTCAGAAGGGAGGCAAGTCCAGCAGAGGCGGAATAGAGAGTACTCTCAGGTACTTCTAGAGTCCTCTACCCCAAAGAGGTAAACGGAGAAACACCTGGTTTCTTTCTTCTTCCCACCCTCCAATCTCCTTCTATTGCCTCCCATTGGCCTAACATAGCTGGCAGACTGGGAAATGCAGTTTGTAGGAGTTAGCCTCTGCAATGCAGAGCAGAGTAAGGAAAAGAAACAGAGCTAAATAAATAGGCAAAAGACCAGCACATAGAGGTAAGAGTAGTCTGTTTTCAGATCGCATGGGCTGTCTGACTTTAAATTCTGAGCACATACCACTACAATCTAGATTATATAATAACTACAAAGAGAGATAGGCTTTGAAGGAACATCCAACTTGATTCTAATGAGCATCGTATTCTATGTGTGATATATGTGTGTATGCGTGGTATATAACATATGCACTTATATATGATGTACGATCATACATGTACATGTATGATGTGATATAGCTAAGATATATACATTTTATATGTGCTGCATATTTAAATAAGATGCATACATGTATGTGCATGATTTTTGGTATAGACGATATATACATGTATATCTATGATGTATGACATAAGCTCACATATGATATATACAATGGTATACATACATAGTTTTTGTCCATGTATGCTGCATATATTTTATTTTATCACTTTCTTTCATATCCCATGTTATTCTGGGTTTTTTTTTACTTCCATTTCAATATATTAGATGAAAAATTTTTTTTTCCTATTTTTTATGTGTAGAAGAACTGGGCTGTAGGCCAGAGGTACAGGAGGCAGGGAGGTGAGAGAATTCACCAGAGACAGAGTTGGGAGCAGAACAGAGAGAGTTACTGAAATACACTGCTAAGGGGAGCAGCGAGCAGCAGGCAACACAGGAGAGGTCTGCTGCATCATATGTGTATCAGCTCCCTGGCTGGGGTTGAACTCAGGCCACAGTGGTGATAGCAGAGACTTAACCTCTAGGCCAGCAAGAAGGCCCATTATCCCCCCTGCTTTTAATGCTTAAAAATCATAGCTAGGTAAGATAGTTTCTCAGAAGATATTAGGCCAAGTTTGCAAGGGGCACCAGACTTGGGGGGCTTGCTCAGACAGGGCATGCTGGTCCCACCAGAGGCAGGTGGGAAACTAGTTGTGTTGCCTTAAGTCAGACCTCTCATTCAACATTGGTAAAAACAAAAGGTAGATTCTTAATTGTCTTTAGGGTCCTTTCTGCTCTGTGGTCCCATTAGTTCATCTTCAGGGAAACATCAGATCTTTTTGTTTTGGCCTCCAGGAAAAATCCAAAACCAAATAAGCTTTGCCCACAACAGCAAGACAGAGACACCCCTGGTTTGACGCTCCTGTGCTGGCTGCCGCCAAGCACACTTTTCTTTCTGAGTTAGACTTTCACATCAGCTTAAGTTGTTCGCACATCCTTGAACACATGTGGCAAATGGGCGGGCTAATGGGGATGTTTATGCTATTGATTCAGCTTCTGACTGTGACTAACACGCCTTCTCTGCAGGAGGATAATTCAGCTCTACTAGGTCTGAGTTTTACTTGAGTTTCATGGTTATATAACTAGACCCAGTCTTTCTGTTCAATTGAGTAAAACAAAAAAATAAAAAACAAACAGCAACAATAGAATTGACCAATGTTATGGGAAAGTAGTAGATTCTGTTTGTTTTTTTAAGAAGTAGGGTATAGACCAGAGTCACAGGGGTGAGAAGATTCACCAGGGAGAGCAGGGAGCAGAACAGGCAGATGTACCAAAATACACTGCTGAGGGGAGCAGCAGGCGAGACAGGAGAGGTCTGCTGCACCATGTGGGTTTCTCCCCAGCCGGCCAGGGATCGAACTCGTGCTGCAAAGGCCGCAGACAGCCTCACAGTGCTGCGTTCAACCTGCTGCGCCACCAGGGAGGCCTCTACAATCTGTTTTTAAAAAATGCCTTCCTAGTCTAGAAAATATAAACATTTATTATTCTATGTATTTCTTAGGAAAAAATCATTTTACTTTGATAAAGTAGCACCATACAAGCTGTCAAAGAGACTGCACGAGAGGGATTCTGGATGTGGAGACAGGGGTGGGAGAGAAATGCATTGACTGAGGTAGGAGATGAAGAGATAGTCTTGGATTCTGGTCTTTTTGTAACAGGGTAATCCCCAGGGAATGGGGGGAGTCCTTTTCCCCACCCATGGAAGGGTGGTGCTAGGCAGGGGGAAGCTAGAGAAAAGACAGGGAGAAAGAAAGAAGGAGGATCAAGAAGAAGAGTCAGAGGAGGCACATGGAGCAGAGAGACACATGAAGAAGCTGTGCTTGGTTCTCAGTCTTGGACTGCATCAGGGGATTTGGGGGGCATGGAAGGACACACTTGACAGAGACAGAGATGTGGGTGACAGGGAGGTTGACAATGGCAGCCTTTATCTTGACTTGCATTTTGGTTTCACTCCTTTTGTCCTAGACTTGCCTGGACCCTTCTACCCCTTTGCTGTGGGTCCCCACCAGAAAGTGCCTTAGACTTGTGTCAAGCTTTTGGGCCTCAGTGGTCCTGTTTTGGACCAAGCCTGTTTGGCTGGGCATTTACTCATGAGGGTATGTATAATTTGGGGTGCTTAATTGGAAACTATTTTATCTTTCTCCTCCTTTCTCTTGTTGCACACTATTGTATTAAAGTTATTTTCTATTGAAAGTCTTACGCACTAGAGTATGTTTTGCCTTTTTGCTGCAGATGGCAGATTTCATTAGAGTGGGCAGATTTGGGTTTTCTGGGGTGCCCCTCACCTTGCCCTATAATGTCTTAAGACCCGGAGTTCAGAGCTCAGGACTTCTTGAGGAGTGCGAGGTGCTCTAGGAGTATGCTGACCTGCTCCATGTCTCCTGCCTCTCTCCTGTGTTGCAGTGGCTGGTGTGCCTTCCTGCAGGTCCCCAGAAAGTGGAAAGTCAAGTCTAAAGTCTCTGCAATAGTCTCCACTGCTTCCCTTTTGTCTATGTATTTTGCAATAAGATGGCTGGCTGACTCATTTCTTTTGCCTATTTGCTCATTCAATTGCTCAGTTAATTAACATTCATTCACTAAATTCTTTTTTTTTTTAAAGATTTATTTATTTATTTATTTATTTATTTATTTATTTATTTATACAAGCACTGGGTACAGTCAGAAGCACGGGAGGGTGAGAGAATTCACCAGAGCCAGAGTGGGGAGCAGAGCAGGCAGAAGGACCGAAGTACACTGCTGAGAGGAGCAGAGGGCGGCAGGAGAGGTCTGCGCACCATGCGGGACCCTCCTCCTGTGGCCGGGGAGCAGCCGGGGATCCAACCGGCGCTGCAGAGGCTGTGAGCAGCTTCGCAACCCAGCGCTCAACCGCTGCGCCACTGGGGAGGCCCCATTCACTAAATTCTGCTTGCTTAGAACGGAGCTAAACAATAGAAACAGAATATAAAGTAAGGAGGACAAACATGGTCGTGGTGTGAAAACATCCCAACTGGCCTCCATCAACTCTTCAGAAAAGAAAGGATGAGTACTTGGTTCCCTTTCTAGACCATTTGGTCTCATTTTCAATCAGGGATTAAATGGATGACTCTGTAATGTGTTCCTTTTACACAGCCCTTCATCATCCCAGACTACAGGGGATTGACATTTTAATGGCAATATAAGAGCTGAGAATAAAACTACCTTTTGATGACACATTTAACTAACACTGAATTATGACAGAACTCAGTGGACTTGCATAGGACATTCACATAATTAGAGGACAATTATATTTATTATTGCTATTACTATTAATGTAAAATTAATTTATACTCACAGACCATTGCATGTGAAGTGTTACCAAGTGTGGGTATCATTTTGTGACCTGCTTCTGAGAGTCACAAAGGCAAATGCACCTGCAACTGCAGCTGGATTTTTCACATAGTTACCCTGCTCTCCTGCCTCAGTCCCTCCTCTCTATTTATTTTTCATTTAATTGTAACATTCTAGAGCAAAACTCGAGAGAAATTAAATGACAGAAATCTGTTGCAGACAGGAGGGTTGGTCAGTCCTTGAAGTCACTAGAGCTAACCTCCAGGGTGAGCCGTGCATAATTCTGCAGCTTGTAATGTGCCATCAGAGGAAATGATGTCTGCAGAAAGTCAACCTTGGCTTCCAGGAGGTCGGGGGCTAGGTAGAGACATACAGAGAGCTTGTGTCTGTGTAGTCTTTACTGATGGAAGCAGAATTTGACTGAAGCTGTCAACCCCATCAAAGCTCACAGAAGGGGAAATGGTGCAAGCAGCCAGCTTTAGTTTGGGGAACTACTTGTATTTTCACCCACCTGCACATATATTAATTAACCTCCCCATTTGTATTCATTTTGAACATATTTCCCAAGCATGTTGAAGATCACCACTAGAACCCATGTGTCTCGATGTTGGCAGGGAGGGGAATAGCTTATGGGCCGAAGGTGTGAAATGTCAGTCCTGGGGCTTGCGTGATCATCAGAGCATCACTAGGATCTTCAATCCTCGTCCCGATATTTTTTAGAAAAAAAAGTGATTTTAGAAACATGTGGAATCTGAGATGGGCTGAATGGCTATTAACTAGCTCAGAGCATGTCTGGTGTTTCCCACAAAGTCCATTTAGAGGTCAATTAACCATTTCTTATGTGCAAACTGCTCCCTTCTGAAAAGGTTTTATTGGTTCCGATTGCCCATTACATTGTTTTCTTTTGTGCCTTTTTGTTAAGTTCAGTTTTTACCTTTACTAAAGTGCCACTTTTAATGATCCCATCAGTCTTGTGTTTCTTGGTGAGAGCAAATTACTGTCATTTATGTCCCAACCACAGCCTCGGGACATTTTTTTTCTTTCTGATTGGTCTTTAACCTAATAGCATACTTCAGTGTCTACACTAATGGCATCTTTGCAATGATAATAGGCAGAAGCTCAATTAGGAAACAGTATGAATCATACAGCTCAGTCTCTTATGGAGAGCAAGTACTCCAAAGCTAACAGGACGATTTCATTTTCTTTGTCCCCTGCACTCCAAGTCTTTTCATTATGTCCCAGCCCCACTCCCGCCCACATCTCACTTCCAACATATTTCTCAGGTTTACTAAAAACTTCTTCCATGAGCAAAACCCTTACCTATTTGCCAATCCCAGGGCACCTTCAGCAGCTCCTTGTGCTCCATGATAGCTCTGCGAATTCAAAGAAAGTGAACCTGGTAAGCAAGGTTATAATATGTTCTACTTTTTTTATTTGGAACTTACCAAATAATGAACCAACCAATTTAATTTCAAAAAGAACTGGCCCACACAGAGGCAAGTCTCATTAGGCAGCCTGAGGTTTATCCTCAACAGGTCTGGTCAGGTGTGACCAGCAGTGGGGAGAGCAAGGGAGGCGCATGGGGTGGCTCAGAACTTCCACTGTGCTTCTCGCCCACATAGTCATGAAGTCAGACTTCATTTCTTTTTGCTGAGACACTTTCTAAAGGTAAATGTCAGGAAAATGTTTGTGTTTGTAGGTTTAGCCAGTTTTCTGATCGAACATTCTCGGGAGTAGTGGCTCTCAAACTTCAGTGTATATAACAGACACCTGGACAATTGTTAAAACAGTTTCCTGGGACCCATTCGTTGACATTCTGGTTCAGGAGATTCAGGTGGACCCATCGGGTGTATTTCTGACAAGTTTCCATGCAGTGCCGGTGCTGCTGGTGGGAGAATTACCTTTGAGAACAACTGTTTCAGAAAAGGACCAGGCGGCAAGGTTTGCATCACCTCACCAGCGATACTTTGGTTTGAATGCATCTTTAATATAACTTCTTTGCCAAACACAACCATGGTACTGCCTTTTTATTGGCAACAGTATCTCCCAAAGGGCTCTGTTAGCTCTAATGACTAAAACTCAAGCAAGTGAGTGCTAGATCTCAGAGCATTTTTTTAAACTCAAGAATAATAATCCATTATTATTATGAGCCAACCATCTATGAAATAGTGGTTATGAGTAGTTCAAGTAGGCATTTTTTTCCCTCTCAGAGATGAAATACCAAATTTAGGAGATTTAAAAATACCATCTCCCCTTCAAAATGAACCAAAAATAAATCTTTTTCAGTGTTTTCCAATCTCTGTGCTTTGGCAATTCTTACATGTATCTCAGGATACTGAAATTTGGAGGATTCCTCAAAACAGCCTACTCATAAAAACCTGTTTAAGGTGACGCCAGAACTTTGTTTATTTGATTTTTCTTTTATACAAGAACTGGGGTACAGGCCAGAGGTGCGGGAGGGTGAGAGGATTCACCAGAGACAGAACCGGGAGCAGAATGGCAGACTAACTGAAATACACTGCTGAGGGGAGCAGCGGGAGAGATAGGAGAGGTCTGCTGCGCCATGTGGGTTGCTCCCTGGCCTCCCGGGGATTGAACCAGTGCTCCAGAGGCTGTGGACAGCTTCACAGTGCTGTGCTCAACCTCCTGTGCCACCAGGGAAGCCTGCCAACATTTTTTTAAAAGATTTTTTTTGTATTATTATATTCCACATACAATAGCACGCCCCATATTTTGACTCCAATCCCTCCTGTCCCCGCACCCCCCCTCCCCATAGTCTCTGGTTTATAGTTGTTTGTTGATTTTGATTTTTTCTTTCTTATAGTTATTCTTTTTCCTGGTCCCTTATTTAGGTTTTCTAGATTCCTGCTATGAGTGAGACCATCCGGTATTTTTCTTTTTCTTTCTGGCTTATTTCGCTGAGCATGAGCCCTTCCAGCGCCATCCATGTTGCTGCAAATTGCATGAGTTTATCTTTTTTGATTGTTGAGTAATATTTTTATAAATAATTTCAGACTTGACAATACAACTGCAAACTACCTGCCTTGTGGAAAGTGATTTGGTGAAATCAGAATCACTTCTTTGTAGAAAGAGATTTGGTAAAATTAGACTGGAGATTATTCTATCACTCTTCACCTCTTGTGAAACTAAAATAAATGGCATTTATTGATAGAAAATTATGCTTTGTTTGACACTTATTCTTACAATTCTGAGGTACTAGTTAATGATGATTTATGTGCTCCAATGACAGCTTTATTGCAAAATTGGTGACTTTGACTTTTTGACTCTTAATGTCTATGCTATATCTTCATCTCTTTTGTTTTTAAAGCTTTTTTAAATTTATTTTTATTTATTTATACAAGCACTGGGTACAGTCAGAAGCACAGGAGGGTGAGAGAATTCACCAGAGCCAGAGCGGGGAGAAGAGCAGGCAGAAGGACCGAAATACACTGCTGAGGGGAGCAGCGGGTGGCAGGAGAGGTCTGCACGCCATGTGGGACCCTCCTCTGGTGGCCGGGGAGCAGCCGGGGATTGAACCGGCGCGACAGAGGCTGCGGGCAGCTTCGCAACTCAGCACTCAACCGCTGCGCCACCGGGGAGTACCTATATCTTCATCTCTTTAAGGAAGATGAAAATACTACATTTCTAAGAGATAAATTTGAAATATGGCTCACTCATGCAAATCCATGGACAATGAAATAACTTGTTTATAAAGTGGAAAATTTGACCTACTCAGTTTTCTAGCAATGGATGTCATTGGTAAATAGAATGCACCTATTTGGAAGTTCATCCAATCATGGCATTTATAAGAACTTTTTCTCCTTTTCTAAGCAAAAACACATTGACTGGTTTGGGGGAGTTAGTACTTGTAATGCCTACCTGTAAATTATCTTCAAAGTCCACTTTATGTTTTTCTAACAATTTATACTTAACTTGTTTTGGTTGGAAGAAATTTACAAATAAATACATTGAATTTTAGATTTCATATGGAAAGTTGATAACAGGTTTCCAGCATTAATTTTTTTTTCTTTTTTCTTTTTTTTCAAAGAAGAACTGGGGTGTAGACTAGAGGGCTAGGGGAGTAAGAAGATTCATCAGAGACAGAGTGGGGAGTAGAACAGGTGGGTTTACTGAAATACATTGCTAAGGAGAGAAGTGGCTGAGACAAGAAATATCTGCTGGGCCATATGTGGATTAGCTCCCTGGCCAGGGATTGAACTCAGGCTATTATGGTGATAGTGCTGAGACTCACACCCAGGCCACCACGAAGGGCCTCCAGCCTTAATTTTTATGAAACAAAATGGCCAACTATTTTTCAGTGCAAAACACAAAGAATAAGCTTAACAGGTTCTACAATTTGAATGTCTTGTTATATTTACTCACAATTGAATTCCACTGAAAAATGCACCGAAGAGTCCAATCATTCCCAGGAATTCCACTCGGCTCAGAGTTCGGATAATGTATTCTTCCCAGACGTTCGAGATACCATAGAGTGTGGCTCCTCCTAAGACCAGAAGGTCCCCTACTAGCTTGTTTTCCCCTAGAATCAAAAAACAGAAGGTGCTTCATTAAAATCTTCCTAATGAGAATCTGGCGTCAGCAAATTGAGTTTCCTTTATTTATTCTATTCTGACATTTTTATAGAAGTACTGTAATTTGCCAACTGAGATTTAGTAAAGTTTGTCTAACTGTGCTCCAGATTTGTTCTGCTATAAAAAGATTCTAGATTGCACCATCTCCACAAAGTCCCATGTCATCTGCCACATATGTGTCTATGAATAAATGCAAACGTGCACATATTATATCTGCTGCAGGATGCTTTCCAAAAGTTTAGTGAGCGAGGAGCAGAACGAACAGCATGAGTCTAATTTCCACCCTCTGCTATATAGGGAGAGAAGCTATAATAGAAGCAGTCAAGACTCTATTTTGACCATGGGCAAAATGTGAACTTGCTTAGAAAATGAAAGCACAAGGGATCGTGGGTTGAAATGTTCAACACCCCCTAAAATAAGTAACAAAGGAATGAAAATATATGTAATTGACTATCACATTGATATTTTCCTTTTATCATAAAACAATATATTTGTTTTAAAATCAATTTTGGCTGATTTCAGTTTATGTCCAGTTTTTAATAAAAACTGTATCTGGCTATTAGTTACAATAAATAAACTCATTCCACTCCAGGAAGTTTGGTGACAGAGAAGGAGAACAGAAATCAGCAACTAGCATCTCTTTGCTGGAGGCTCCATGCCCAAATAGTCTCCAGCTCTGTCCTGAACAGGTCAGCACACAGGGGCAGAGGAAGGAAGCTCTGGGGCAGAAGAGGTGAGGCATGAAAAGGGTGCCCTTTCCAGCATGTCCTAAGGGCATTGACTCTAGAGTAGCTATAGAATCCTTGATTCCTGCAACAATATAAAACTGTAGGACTGAATTCTTACTGTTCAGTTGGGAGTATTGAGCATTCTCTAGGAAATGGCTTCACCTAACAGAATCTAGGCTGGACTTGGGAGAGACCTTTCACGCATCTGTGTTCATCCCGAGAGATTATATATTTTCTCTAGGTGGTGACACTTTTTCTAGGATCACTTCCTACTCCTGGAAAGGATTAGAGAGAGAGAAGAGAGCCTGAAAGGCAGCACTTTCTGGAATCACTCTCAAGGAAATGGAGGTGAAGCTCTGACTCTTTGGGTTCTCCTTGGATGGATGTGGAATTAGCCACGGTACTCAGCAGATGCGCCTGAGATGCCAAGAGGCCCCATGAGAAACTGGATCTGGAGGGTGGTTTCTCCCTGGGTATGTCTTCTGGGGAAATTAAGGTTGCTATGACAGTGTATGTCATCTTTGGCATCCTGACTCATCTTTTTTATGTGTCAACTAGAAAATAGTGACAAAGCTTTGCATTTAAAATAGTTCATTTGGGAAATGACCCTCAAAATAAAAAATGTCCAGTTTTAAAATTATAATGAACACAATTTGGTCACTTTTCTTTCAGGAACCATTTTTTTTTGCAATGACATGGGGTCATTATTATGAATATCAGTTATTGTTGTACTAGTGAAGTGTGGAAGTGCTGCTTAATAGAATTCTTGGCTAATAGAATTAATTTTATATGAATAGATTCTGGGAAACTGACTTACAGTGAAATATTCTAATAGAAATTAGGGAAACATCAGTGTGTCTTTCAAAAGTTCTCAAAAGAGGACACACTAATAAAAAGTCTTGCCAATGTTTTTCAAACTCCATATTTTAAAGTTATGGCCTATTGTGTTAAATAGCCTTGGATTGTAAGAATTCTGCTCCCTCCCTGGTATTTCAAGTTTTTACCAATGCAGTGATCACTATTGCTAATCATAAAACAATTCTGTGTAACTGCAAGTTCAGAAGTACTTTCTAAGTTGTCAGTGACAAAAAGATGAAACACTAAAATTTCACTATTAAGTGTATCTATCCATTTTACACAGTTTAAAAGTAGCTTCATATATACAATCTCTATATATAGTATATATCAAAATTTAGTTGATTAAATGCAATTGAATTAACCAGAATATGATTTTACTCAACCATATTACATAATAAAATGCTTGATGTAAAAAGTATAAGAAAGCACTAGGATTAATATTTTTTATCTGAAATTTGTATCTAGTTATCAAGAAAATAAAACATATTAGTCCATGATTTATACATAGTTAATGCAGTAAATATCTGACATGGTGATACCAGTTTCTCTGTAATCTTCACTGGGAAAGTGCACCCACCAAATCTGTCCTTTATTTATGTATGAAACCAGGGCAAGTGATAAGTTCTACACATTTTGGGGTAAATAGACATATTTGAAAGCATGAGAAGTTCATCTGATCAGTACTTTTTCTCTCACTTCTGAATTTTACACCATTGTACCTGGGTATGGCACCAGCTATAACTTGTGTCTTCCCTATCCCCAACCCCTTGTTTTATTACACAGTAAGATTAAAGGGCATGACCTATGGTTCAACTAAGCTTTATATTCTGTGTGGTCCCTAGCATGGGTACTGACACATTATAAGTTCTCAATAAATGTTTAAATTCATTAAGCTCACTAACAAGCTTTAATCCATCTATGATAATGATTTCAAGTGGCAACAGCTTTCGACTCAAACAGACATAGCCTCTTGAGCTGCTAAACATTGGGCGGCCATAGAATCTTTCTGCACAAGTTTCCTTATTTTAAAATGCTATTGTTAGAATAAACTGAATAGTATTATACCTTTCCAACTTTCCCTTTTATAGATGTATTTTCTTAGATGAGCAGAAATGTCATAGCAAAGTATCTCTTTAGCCTATACTAATCAATTTTTCATATTCCAACATTTATAACAGTATCATGAACCACTTTTATTGCATGTCACCTCCTGCCCCCTCCACACATATATATTTCCTTCCATGCATCAGTAAATACAGAGACGGCTATTTGGAGAACTATATTGCTGATAGGGAGTAAGGGAGCAAAAGGAAAATATGTATATTGGGTTCACTGACTTTTACCGACAAACTTGGAAAATATATCTTTTCAAGTGAACTCAAAGGCACTGAAATGTCCCATATTGGATGCCTGTGACAAGTACTGATTGTAACACTAGCATTGCTTGCGTCCCTCCTACTTTGCACACCACTCCATAGGCATCAAGGCAGAGTCTGCTGTGGGCTCCTCCCTCCATCTCTGGCTATAGTGGGTGAACTTACTAATAAAGTTTTCATCAGAAACATTATTCCCAGCCCATTATTCTATGTTCTGACATTTACATTTTGCATCAGGTGTGCCTTAGGCCATCTGAGAAGTTGCCTTCAGCAAGACTTAATTGAAATGAAGAATTCCTAGACAATTGATGAAGAAGCATTCTAGCAAAATAGAATGAAAACAATTATAATAATTATAATGAGGTCAAAGTAACTTTGAACAGCCCAATATGAATATCCTTGAGAATTTTCAAAATCCCAAACTAAGGCGAATGAAGACAGATTAAGCAATATAAAAAGCATTACATCATTCTCTTTTCCTGTGGAAAGCTATTGATATAGTAATGATAATTTATATTAAGTTAAATGCCTGATTAAAATCCTGGTGAGTGAAGTTTTTAGAAAAGTTCTGTCCCTGGCTACACAAGTGAACCAACTCTACCTTAAAGGTATAATGATATAATTTTTTATAATGATGCACACTAATTTGAGGATTATATTGTCTTTAAAATCAGAGTTTTTAAAAGTTTATATAATGATAACTGAAATCACTACCTAAGTTAATATTTCATAGAGGGAAAAGCTGTCCAATCAATGTTTTGTAAAATGAACCCTTGGATACTATTTTTGAACTGTCCTTAGAACATTCCACCATGTTCTTGGGCTCCATTATATTAGTATGGAAGGTCTTTCAGATGATAACATTTAATTTTGTTAACACTGGGACTTTATAAGTCACCAAAATGACAGTGCTGTCAGTCTGATATAGATTCACACAGAGAGATAAAAAACCATTCCAGTATGTCTTAGCTATTTTGCATTGTTTTTTAAAAAACCACTCCCAAAATTCTCTCAAATACACTTTCTTTTTCCTAAGTAATTCTACTTCTTTCCTAACACTTCCTGTGAAAGAAAGAAAGAATTTTTTTTTACAGGAATAGTGAACATATCTAGTGAAATCCAAGTTAGCATAATATTCTGGTCTTAAACATTCTGATTTTAACAAAATAACTGTCATTCTTGGCTATGATGCAAGATGATGGCCAGGGTGAATGGTGTGAGCATTTAGCAAAACTGAATTCTCATAAATAAAGAATATACATCTGCTTAGCCTGTGAAGAATATATGTCTGCTTAGCCTGTGTTAACAAGTTCAAGTAGATAAAATGGCAACTTAAAAAAAAACTGGCCACACTGATCAGACAAAAATACTGTCAGAATGGTCCAAAGAGATTACTCTATCAGGTCACTATGAGTACAGAGCATGAAACCGGCTCTAATGTATCATATCGATTGATGTATTTCATAGAAGAGAACTTGGGAGAAACTGGTGTTTGTGTTTTTAGCCCTGTTGAGTGTGGGGACTGCTCGGTTTGGCTTGGATGCAGCAGATATTTGAGGGCCAAGACCATCTCTCATTTTCTCTCCTCTATCTTCAGCTTCTAGCAACATGGTGAGGGAAGCAAACTTGGCTGAAGGTCAGGACATCTCATTTGGTTTCCCTGTGTCTTGGCATTCTTATGTGTCAATTATAAAGGAGTTATAATTTTAGTTATAAAGTTCTATGGTACAACTTAAAAACATAAAAACATTCATTTCAGGTACTTCCTATGAGGCAGTCTCATAAAGAGAAATCCCCCATTTTTGACACTTTATCATCAAATTCCCTAAAAGAAAAAGAAATAACAAGAACTATGGAATTATCCTGTTCCTGATGTTAACGAAAGGGTATATTTTTTGCACCCCCAACCTTTTACCACACAAGTTTTAGTGTATATATATATATTTTTTAAAAGATTTATTATTTATGCATACAGGAATGGGGGTACAGGCCAGAGGCATGGAGCGGGGAGGTGAGAGGATTCACCAAAGACAGAGCAGGGAACAGAACAGGCAGATTGACCAGAGCACACTGCTGAGGGGAGCAGTGGGGGAGTCAGGAGAGGTCTGCTGTGCCATGTGGGTTGTTCCCTGGCGGGAGATTGAACTCGTGCTACAGAGGCTGCAGGTTGCCTCTTAACTCCTTGCACCACCAGGGAGGCCCAGTTTTAGTATATTTTATTTATTTACTTCAATGTATTATATTGTAGTGAAGTAACATTGCATCAAAACAGTACTATAAATAGTCGTAGGTGTGCATCACTGAAAATCAACATGTTTATATGCCACATTAAGTTCACGGCTAAGTAGTACACTTTAAAGAATTGCAATGCCCTAAAATGGGTCCATCCTGAGCCAGGGATTCGGGAGACCCATAGCAAATTGCTGAGTCGATCTTGAAGCTTTATTTTGTAGGTCTGTAAGCTATGATGGACACCAGAAACCCTCCCCCCTTCCAAGAACAAATGAGTAAACAAAAAATTTTGCATGGAGATAATTTAATTTAGTGCTCTCATAAAAATATTGAGCTTTTCTAATCGAATCTTTGATCTTTTAGTATCTACTGTTAGACCTGTATGCCAATCCTCATTTAGCAGTTTGAAAATACACTCTTTCGCCATGTGGAGAGAGAGAGCTTGGGGGTGGGAGGATCGGGTGTGAGAAAGACTACTGAGGTTCAGGCCTGGACAAACATGAGTATGACAGACTGGGAAGACCATTTCCTTATTTTCACCCAACCACGAATGTTCCATATCTTACCTTGGTCTTACCAACAGAGGCACAAAGTCTGGTGACTATTGGATACTCACCTGCTCCCTGGTGCCTTCCCACAAGCACATCTGCTCCAGCCATGCAGCCCATGCCCAGGATGCAGACAACGATGCCGATGAAATGCACAGCCTTGTACCGGATCAGCAGGAAGAACCAGGAGAGCAAAATCACAACGGGGATCACAAAACAGTCCAGGAGCTATTGGGAGGTAAAGAACAGGAGGGTCAGGAAGAAGCTCCTGAATGAATGAGGATAATGTAATGAAGATAAAGAATGGATTTCTGGTGAAAGGGTATTTCCCCTGAACCTATGTTTCTTTGTAGAATCAGAACTGATGCAGTTAAAAATGACTCTGAAATAAACACATATTAATTTCACTTAAATATTTTCCAAGCCTTGGAAGAAAGGCAGATAGATAAGATAGGTTGGTGGTGAAGATTCTTCTGCCCCATGGTATCAGGACAGCTGTGTCTCACCTTCTCAGCACCCTGCTAGACTAAACAGGAGCACTTCACAGAGGGGAGAATACATTAAGCCATTTTAGATGGCCCCATGACATTAAGAGTAGGTCTGGGAATGGTCGGTCTTATAATATTTTATACATTACTAGAATTTAGACAAAGTTACACTTGATTTCTCCCAGACAACTTTCCCCTCACAACAAGTACAAGTTACTTTAATTGAATTTCACTCTTAAAAGAAAAAAATCCTTTTTATATGAATAGAAATATTAGTCTCAAAAGTTTACAATACTTATAAAATACTATTGTAAAAGGAATAAAAAGGAAATAGGGTTGACTATAGAAAAAAAAAAAAAACCCAGATGCCCCAAGAGCTGGTGGAGTTTGCCCCAATCACAGAATAGGACGACATGATGAAATGATAAGACCCCTGTGCCCGGTGCCAGGAGATCTGAATGTGAATACATTCAGTATTTTTACTCACAGTAATGTGCCCTTTACTCACAGTAATGTGCCTTAGCAAATCACAAACTCTGGAAGCCTCAATTTCCTGTCCATAAAATGAAGATGATAGAACTAAGAGGGAAGGGAGCACATGGACTGTGGGTGATTTGGTGGTGGGTATGCTATGGGGGTGATACCTGACCGGGGTATCCAAATATTACCTTAATTAAAGATCAATCAATTAATTAATTAGAAAACAAACAGAAAAATAACGAAGGTAATAACCTCTGCTGACTTTCCCCAAAACTCATCATGAAGCTTAAAGATACATGTGAAAGCATTCTGCAAATTACAGAGCCCTAATGTTTGTAATTGTTCGTCCAAATGCACCTCTGGGTGCTCCACGGGACTAGCTCAGTCTCTGCCATGACAGGGAAGATGCAGTGACCACTGGAGACATCATCCAAGGCTGGTTTCCATGAGACAAAATGATGTCACACAAGACTTCCAACATATCAAATGGGAAACTGGTGGCCAGTACAGCAACTCTGCTAGAGCCCCCTACAAGTGGCTCCTACCCCCCAGCAGTGAGATCGAGGGCAGTGATTGCTCTCGCTCCTTCACTCTCACCGCCTATTACCACTGACCATCTAATTTTGCCAATTCCACCTTCTATGCCTCTCTCAGATCTACTCATGCTGCCCTCTCTTATTTCTGCCATCTCTCCTGAGCTAGCATCCTCTCCTGCCTGTGACAAGCCTCCCTTCCTGCCTCGAAGACTTCAAACACATTATCCCCTCTTTCCAGGATACTCCATCTCTATTTTTAAATTCCCTGCACTTATATACTTCCTGCTCAAGCTCTGTGGGTACCCAGGCCAGGCCAGATCGATTTAATGCTTTTTCATATCCTGTTCTCCTTTATGATGCCATTTACAATAGAACTTAATTAATATGGACTTATTGATATAATGTCTGACCTCCCCACTGTCCAGAGAGCAGGACTCTATTCCCTGCTGGGTTCATGAGAAGTACCCAAAAATAGTTATTGAACTAATACATACAAGGATTTTTAATGATCAGAAACATCAAAGTGGAGTCTCCAAGATTCAAGAAAGACTGAATACTGTTTGGATATTTGCAAAGCATCTCTGTCTGTCAGAGGGGCCTTTGCACTGTAAACAACACTTACAATTCCTTCTAGCCTGAAAGCTTTTTGTGACCTGGACTTTTTTTGTGATCTCGTGCTTCTTTGTACATTAGTTTTCTCTGCAAAATGGAACAAGCAGAAGAGCGAGCTGTCCCAGTGATGCTGTTCAATGATCAGGTTTTGTTGGGTCTTGTGAATGCTCACTGACCCTGTGCAGGCTGCTGGCTGAGCCCAGGGGGCCACAGCACTCCTGGGGGCTATGTATAGGTTTGGCAGCTGGCAGAATTATACTACAGCACAATAGTTCATTGCACAGTTAATTAGCAAGTTCATGATCTTACTAGATGTGGTATAATACTCTAAGACAGGTTTTACAACTGGTTTCAAATGTCATTTAAGTACATCAGGAAAATTCAGTATGCCGGTGAAAACTGTTCACTGGGCATAAAACAGTTGGTGTTTTGTATTAAAAATTAGAAATGATTGAATCAACAGTTGAAACATTTAGCAACATACTCCATAATTGGGATTTCACTATCTGGCTGAAAACCCTTCGTCAGTGGCACTGAGACCTCCTCCTGAATTACTCAAGGCAAAAAGAGCCAATCTTTGGGGAGGGTTGAATCTTTTTGGTTCTTAATGTCATTAAAAACTTCAAAGCACTTGAGTTCTAGGACCCATTCCTTTAATGGATTGAGTGTCAAGAAGTCTATGGGTAAGGAAGACTGTCAGAAGGAAGATATAGTGACAAAAGAATATAATTGAAGTCAGGGTTTCAGGGACATTTCATTTTGGGAAGTTTGGTTGTCCAGAATATAGGAAGGGATCAATAATGAGTGGCTTAATGAATTAAGAAATGGAGAGGTACTGGCTCTCACTGATACCAGTGTCAGAGGGGATATCACAGATAGTCCAGGTTCTACTGGCATTTGGGGAGGGACAATTCTCTCTCTCTTTTTTTAAACATTTTCATTTTTTTAAAGATTTATTTATTTATGCATACAAGAACTGGGGTACAGGTCATAGGTGTGGCGGGGGGGGGGTGAGAGGATTCACCAGAGACAGAGTGGGGAACAGAACAGGCAGACTGACTGAAATACACTGCTGAGGGGAGCAGAGGGTGAGTCAGGGGAGGTCTGCTGTGTGTGCCCTGTGGGTCACCTCCCTGGACGGGCATCAAACTCATGCTGCAGAGGCTGCAGATAGCATCATAGGTTGTGTCTTAACCCCTTGCGCCACCAGGGAGGCCCAATTCTCTTTTTTGCAGGACTACCTCTTGCTCGCTGCATGCATTTGACATTGTTGGGTGCTGCCCACTAAAAATATCTTCCTCACGTTCACAAGTGCCTCTTGAGGGCAGTATCTCCCCAGTTTAGAATCAATGAGACCCCTTTATTAACATCTGGGCACTCAGAAGTGTCAAGAGATGAAATAATGGGCTCAAGGTCACTCAAATTGTTGGCATCAGCAGTCGTTCTGTCAAGATGTTCTTTGAATGGTATTTTAATGAAGGTCAAAGGGAGGAACTGCTACAGGTGAAGGGCTCGCCGCCGCACGAACGGTTACTACAGAAAAGAAACTATCAGTAGCTGCTGTTCACATAAACAGGATTACTTTTTAGTGGTTTTTGGCTCCAGTCTTTCCTCTGTGGGCATAAAGCACAAAAATGCCCACAAAATATAGTTTTCTTGGTAGCTGAACTTCTTACAAAGAGGTTGTTAGAATAATAAAGAAGGAATTACAATAGAGATTTACAACTGGGACTGTTAAGACAGAAAAAGAACAAAAACACTTCTGATTCTGTCATTGATAGGTTTACCTTTCTTATGTAGATTTACCTTGTTTGCATGCATTTCTGTATCCAAAAGGAAATTATAAAATATCAATACAAAAAATAAACAAATTAATGCTATTTCATAATCATCTTTTGTTCTGAAAAATCTCGAAGAACTCTGAAACTATGCTGGCTAGAAAAATGTTCATTATGACTTAGATTTTCATAGCATCTTTTCCCCTAAAGAGAAAAACTAAATTTATTCTCTGTATTATTAACCTTCATGAATACCTGCAGAGATACCAAGTTCTCTGACTTAACTAAAGGAGCCACAGAAGAGGGGGGTGGGTGGGGGAGCACAGCACACTCAATAGCTGAGGCATATTCTTTGGCATCCTGGTGGTGGTGTCAGGATTACTTGAAATTGGTGGCTTTAAGTAACATTCACAGTAAATTGTATTAGGTTTACATTTATATTTTGCAAGAAAAAATTACTTTTATTTAATCTTTGTATAGCTCTTTCAAAGAGTTATAATTATATCTATTTTATAGATAAGGAAACTGAGGGTCTAACAGTAAAGCAAATTACTGTCTGATTTGGGGTTAAAATGCTAGTCTCTGGACTCCTCAATCAGGGTTCAAGAGTGATTTCCAAAAGTTTTTAAATGACTAAAAAAAAGTCTGTGTTGACATTACTTTTAGGACAATAGGAAACAACCTTAATTAACATTACAGTATGTTTTAAAATAGATATATATTAGAGGATCACAGCATCAGTTAACTTTTTGCCCTCTCTTTTTTTAGCTTCAGACAGTGTCTTACTACTGGATCTTTAATCACACTTGGCCATAATTTCTCCTACACACACACACACACACACACACACACACACACACACACCCCTCTCCCTTCCTGCTAATATCCACAAGCTTCTCTCTCCCTCTTCCTATGCTGCCTTCATTTACCAACCCTTCCCAGTCTGGCTTCAGACACCCCGACCGTTGAAAGAGTTCTCACTGGTAAGTCCCATCCCCATCCTAACGTGGCCAGTACACTCTCCTGGTAGCAGACAGGGTCCCAGAGATGACTCATTTTCTGTGTGTCAGTGACATGTACTTTCACAGACTGCCAAGCCTCCTTTGAGTTAGGGAGTATCCCCAGTTAAATCTTGTTTTTACAGAATGTTTCCCAAGCTTTTGTTTCACATGAGTTCACAACTCTAAATCTGGGATGCAGGGAAAGGCACAGACTCTAGAACTGCTGCATGATGGGGGCCCCCTCTTAGGCACCCTAACAGGAAGCGCCTTCAGCAGGACCCACACTGGGTAAACCCTGCAAACATTTGGAGACCAGAATCAGAAGGGATACAT